ACACCGCATAATACAGCTTGGGACACCGGTCTCCATTTCCAGATGAAGACTGACAGGTTTAAATTGTTTGAAAATATATCAGATTTATTGAGCTAGTTGCTCGGCCCTACGGTAGAGGGTTTTAAGGGGTTTTAACACAAAATTAAGCAGTTTTATTCTCCAAAATATTATTGGGATTGGCCCTTTAAGAACAACGATGCTAGAGGCTGCTCTGTACACACGGGTGGATCCCATATTTCACTCTGTAAACGGCAAAGACACTGTCCTTTACTGGCTCACCAGTCATGTTGATACTAAAGGGAACGATCAAGCAGACTTAGCTGCCAAGTCTGCTTTAGATCTTCTCATTTTACAATTTCTTTTATCTTATACAGATTTTAAATCCTCCATTATTCATTTTATATACGAGCGCTGACTATGGTCTTGGGATCTTGCAGACACAAATAAACTTCATCACATCAAGTCTCTCTTGGGCGACTAACCAACTTCCTCTTGGTCCTGCAGAAGGGGTGGCGTTGTTTTGTGTGTGTCTCTCGCATTGGTCATACTTTCCTAACTCGTATTTTAATTTTTAAGCGATTTCCTCAAGGGGAATGTAAGCGCGTCCATGTTTCCTTAACAGTTAAGCACATTTTGAATGAGTGCAAGTATCTTATAAGATTAATTTATTACTGTTGTCCGTCATTACATCACATGTTTGCCCAACCGGGTTTATATAGCAAAGTGTTAAACTTTTTAAAAGAGACAGGTTTTTATTTTAAATTTTTTATTTGTAAATATATAACATTTTCAATCGTTTCTTTTGGATATTTGCATGATTTCTTTTTACACTTCAAAACTGTGATATTTGTATTAAATTTAGAAGTATAATGAGTATGTTTTGTGATGCCATTTAGCCTGTGTCATATATTTCACTATATGTTTGGCGCAATACAGCCCAGTTGGTGCTGACGTGCCATCAAACGACATTTCTTTCATTCATTCATACACTAAAGACTAAACACTATTCCTATGATTTGATTACAACGGTGTCATATTCGCCATTTGGGTTTAATTGTGTAGCGTCTCCCCAACCTCGTGGGTTTTGTTCGGGTCCTCCGGTTTCCTCCCACTGCTAAAGACCACTGCACGCAAGAGCGTTATTGAAATAAAATTGAACCATATGTTAGTCCCGAAATGACCTAGTTTGTGTCGAGTGGACGTTAAACTCTCTCTCTCTCTCTCTCTCTCTAGCTCTCTCTCTCTCTCTCGCTTCAGATTGTTCGGTACAATTTCGTTAATTTATATACTGATGATGTCAAAACTTAGTAACCGGCAATTTAGCCAAGAAAGGGTTTTTCGTAACGATTCTATACGTCGTAGAACATAATACTAACCCCAGACAATTACATACACATCTAGTGCTATCCTTTATAGAAAGGCTAAGCCCATTCCATTCTAATGGTTTCAAATATACACAAAAAGGATGGCACCGCTTAAATTTGGGTTTAGCAATTTGGTAGGGAAATTGGACTAACTTTTAATCAAGTCGCCATTTAGCTTCTCTAATCATTCCGTTTAATTGATTTTGCACATATGGTCCATTAAGTCTCAGAAATTGTCAATGGTTTTCCAGCTTAGAAACGACTGTTCTTTTCCAAGCAATTATAAGCTTTAATGTAATCGAATTCAATAGTCTCTCCGCTGAAGGGAAAATGAACTAGAGGATAATTACGCGAGTCCGTCTCCTATACAGCCAAACAAGTGGTGAACCGTCTTATATAGGCAGGCTAATATAAATCTCTGTCAAATTACTGTCATCGTGTATACATTGTCTTTCTGAATAACAGTGTGAATCCAAACACATAGTCGCTAAGATGGCAAACTAATTTATTGGCAAGAAATACGTCTATAACGGTAAATGGCGAAGATTAATTTCATTATTGCTTTGTAGGGTTGGCCTTTATGATATGATTATATGAGTTATAATAGTATTGGCCTTGTCGGTGTGTTGTACTAATAAATCGTAAGCCGTAGTCAGTATGGAGAAATATTAGGGGGATTAGAATGTCCTTGTCAATGTTAATAGCGAATAATTCTCCACACATGTTCGTAGTCATGCTCTTAAGTAGAATGTATGCTCTATAAGTCATCATAGTCACCATAAATTACATATTAATTAATAAAGACTCAATAAGCTAAGCTAGATGATTGACAAAGGACCGTGACACATCACATCCACGACCACGTTGGCAGTCTAATTCACCCCCCCCTCCTCTCTCTGAAAATCCATATTGCGATTTATCCGAAATACATGTTTATTTGCGAAGTATAGTCTTATATTTATTTGATGTATCATACTATACAAACATCGTGTCTATAAATATATTATGCCAATAATCTTAAAACTTACCGGGGAAAATATTGTAGCTACTTATAAGAGGAACTAAATACAAGAAATTGTTCGTCCAAGTAAACAAATGTCATAATTATTATGAAACGGAAAAAAGTCTACTTGACAAACTAGAAATTCCGTTTTGGCAATAGGTTTCAAAGATTTAGTTCCTCCTCTAAACTAGAGGAACTAAATGCAAGAAATTGTTCGTCCAAGTAAACAAATGTCATAATTATTATGAAACGGAAAAAAGTCTACTTGACAAACTAGCAATTCCGTCTTGGCAATAGGTTTCAAAGATTTAGTTCCTCCTCTACAGTCGAGATCCTAAATGAGACTATACGGTCTGATTATAATACACATCAATATTTCGTTTCGTTTTTTTTATACCAAATTTTGAACTGTAAAAAAACGAACCGAAATAGGGTCTGCTTTTTTTAAAATCAGAATGAAGACAATATGTTTATTGCTTAAAGTAATATAAAATCACAAGATATTTTAAGACAGGTTCATTTCCGGTTAATGATTACAGTGGCGTGCAAAGACTGGGCCAGTTCGCGAATAATACATGTCAATTCTATTTCAATAATTTGCAAAGGTTTGTTTTAGCAATGGCATCCGATCCAAAAGTGAAAATTCTTTTTTAAATAGTTTTCTTTGCAGTTTGTTTGAAATGGTTGTTTACAGTAAGTTTGAAAAAGTTGTTTACAATTTGTACTTCTTTAATTTATTGTGGATAAAGTATAAAGTTGGTGTCCATAATTTATTTTTCCTGCCCTTTAGAAAATGATAATGGTAAGTTTTATTGGTCGAATAAATAACATAGGCATAAATGACCGAAGGGACATATTATTAATAGAATGTCAAATACGGTAAATACAACGATTTTAATTTAAATTCTCTTGTGCTTTTAATGTTCTGAAGATAATTTTCACACTTCAAAGGTAAATATAGTAATCGGTTTATAAAAACCATCTGTACCACATGAAATGGGGAAATTGTATGTTGTTGTGTAAATAACATTCTGTTTATTTAAGTTTCAGATATGAATACAGCTATTTAAAATCTTGATAATGAACATCCAAACAACAAACGATAGAAATTATAAATTTATGTAATTGCCAGTTTCGCTATTAAAGATTATTAAAGGCCCATATGACATTTTGACAAATAACTTCATTTGGTATCCGAGAACCATTATTTACAATAGAATCAAATGGGGCCCTTTAATTTTAGTTTTACGAACGGCCTTATTTACCACAATGTTTATTATCCTTATACGAGAGTATATTTATAAAATTTGTTCGGTCAGATTTTACAGATTTAATTATTGACAGAGCCGAAAATTATGAGCTCAAGTTTATATCGAGTCACGTGCACATCGAGCCGCTATGTATTGAATCATCAATTTAAAGATTAAAAATTATTATCATTCGAAATCAATTTGTTTTCGACCATTAATAAATGAAATGTAATGAAATGGGGTTTAACGTCCTACTGTTCTGATCCAAACTGGGCTAATGAAGACGGGCATACGCCATACAGTGTGCCGTGAGGGACATTTTGCCAGGACAGCAGCGCTACGGCCTACTCATATTATCGAATTCCAACTGTCATGGTTTTATTTACGTGCAATGTGTACAGGGGACCCCGGTCCTGCATCACTGACAAAGAGAAACCACGCCTACTTTAAAAGATGCAGTTTTGAAATGCTTTGTTATTTATGTTATTTCGAAAATAACCCGATTGATTACTAACTATTGAACTTGAATAGGTTTACGCTGGTTTTATTTTTTAAAGGTTTTAGGCGATCTCCTTCATACTATTTAACAAGAGTAATAAAAGTACAATATCGTGTCTTTCATAATCCCCCTTTTCGTCTTTTTAGAATTGTTTGATTTGGAATAAACTCAGTTTGAACGTCTACAGGGACATTCAATTCCGTTCAAAAGTTGATTTAATTTCGTTATCTCGTTGTAGCGAATTCATGTAATTTGTAGACGATGTAATGCTTGCTTAACTAAGCATAATAAAAATAACTATTTCATGTCCAAGATTCCTGGTTTAACAAGATTAATACCAGTGTAAAGTTAATACAATAGATAAGACGAGGGTTTATGTAGCCAGCGATTCGATTTCCCATCAATGAACAGCCTAGAAACAGATGTGTAATGCCATAGTTTATTGATTCCAACCTTCTCTACGTTAACAAAACGTAATAGGGTCGACACAAAAAACTCAAATTATTGGTTGTAACACAGACGTCAGATAGTTACCATGTCTATTTATATCTTATTTAAGGCATTAAACGGATTTCAATTATCCCAACTCCTTCTTGTAAGTTTTATAACGGGGGATGATGAGAGACGGTCGCAAATCCAAATTCCATTTTTGTTCAAGATTCAGTGAACATGCATTATTCGTGTGAGGAAATCAGACGGTCTCGCATTGTAGGTTATGCCAAGACCGAAGCACAAAACCTTTAATGGCTTTTTAAACGAATCTGTCAATTCAAACGTCTGTTAGGTTTTTTTTTCGTTTTTTTTATATAATGAATACATTTTTTTGCTAAATATATTCGTTTCGTTTCGGTTATTTTATTGATGTAATTTTTATTACATTTCAGTGAATCTTCTGCAATTAGTGCGAAGCTTTTGTCTACAAAATTCGTCTTCCACTTGTTACGTGTCGTTTGCGGAATTACGGAAACACGTGACCAGTATCCAGGTAACGGATTTATTGGTGCCAGATAAAAATAACACGAATCACAAAGTGGTGTGTAGGTAGGTATATACAGCAGTAGTATACTCTTCAAAAAAAAAAGTAGGGGATATTCAGAAACAATACAAAACTGCGGAAATACACTGCTGTTTTTATTAGAGATTACCAGTGTATGTTAATAACGGGCCAATTGCCTACACATGAACATAAACAGTTCATATGGGCGTCTTATATGACGGCCCCATTTCATTCGCAAAGAGATACACTGTCAAAGGTGAAAATGGACGTTTTTGATTTTTGTCTTAATTATAATGAGTAATTGCTTCACCAATCCTCAGACATTCAGCAGTTCGTCGTGGCATGCTCCTAATCAACGGCCAATTCTTGCAGTGTTGTCGGTTGACGTTGACGTCGACCAACACGTCTCCCGATCAACTTAAACGTAACACACTAAAGCAAAGATACGCTAAACAGTAAATTTTGTGCAAGAATCGATAGGAAAGCAAACATGAATAGGATAGACCAGCAAGCGGGAATTTTCATCAACCCTTCCTTGAAGTGTCAAATTTGACAAAGAACCCCTCCCACGTGTATGGCGCTATTGCGTGTCGCACATGCAGCTCAGTGTTTCTGTTGGGGCGATAAGTTCTTCATCTGTGAACATACTCTTAAAGCATGTCAAGTGCCCATGGCTATTTATCATATCACAACCTGCATTTCCTTTGGCGTTCGTCACTTCCGATTCAGGAAACCTGTATTACTCAGCCATCGTAGCAATGATCTCTGTGTTAAAATTATATTTGTAACGTGTTTAACCAGCTCTATCACATATTTGATAATGACTGGCGCCAATATTGTCCTTTAATACAACAGATTGCTGTTCTGATTGATAGGCGATTATACTACTTTATAAGATATTTCCTTTCATGTTAAAACCTAATACATAAGCCGAGTTGATTAGGATTAAGTACAGGAACTTGGTGTGTGGTAACACATTTTGATCTGTCAGTCGTATCCTGGTGCCACCATTTCTGTTGTCAGCGTCGCTGATGATAAAATGTAGAAGTCAACCATATCAGAGACATTGATAAGTAGGGATTAATCTAACTACTAATCCAAAGTGCATACTATTATAAATCGAATTACAAACAGTGTCAAATAGCCCAATTGTAGCGAGAGAGAGAAAGAGAGGGAAACGGGGTTTAAAGTCCACTCGATACAAACTAGGTCATTTCGGGACTAATATATGGTTCAAATTTATTTCAATGATTCGCTTGCGCGTAGGGGTCTTTAGCAGTGGGTGGAGGCCGCAGGACCCGGAGAAAACACAAGAGGTTGGATAATCGACCCTACTACTTGTCACATACAACCGGGGAATCGAAACCACGCCAGTTGACTCAATGACACCCCACGCCTCCTCAATTGTAGCGAACAATACATAAAATTGAAAAAACATTCCATCAAGATATCGCCTGTCTTGCCTCATACACTTAAAAATATCTGAAAATGCAGGCATAAAATAGAAATGTCAGACAAAATAAAACATTTTCCACAGTCATATAAAATACTGATTCTTGTAAAGTGAAATGGGGTTTAACGTCCTCCCTTCCTGCACCGACTGGGCTAATGAAGACGGGCATACGCCATGCAGTGTGCGATGAGGGATTTTTTCCCAGACAGTGGCGCTGTGACCTACTCTTATTTTAAACTCTCAATGTGTACACGACCTCGATTTTTTTACCTATCTGAACGACTAGACATTGTTCCTTGTCAGTTCCTCCGTCCTGGTTACCGAGCCACCGCGACTCACAGGTAACTTACAAAAGTCGAAATTACATGCACCAGTTATCCGTTTCTCATTAACAATTCCACTGTCTGGGGTTCTTTTACGTGCAACGCTGTAATCGAACACAGGACCTCCAGACTAGTGATTCAACGTCTTACTCACCGAACCACCGTGGGTCCCCGCAGTGATAAAATTGTAAGAAGAATGTCTGAACTGAGAATTAAGATGTATGTTCTTGATGACATCCTTTATATTATTCTGTCTCAGTATAAAATCGAAAAACCTAGGCAGTGTAATCCTCTTAATATAGATATTTAATTAATATTTAGGCTTACGTTGGTCATTTGGTTATATATTGTGTTTGGTGAAAGTATGTTCATGTAACTTCCGGTGACCATGTTGAGGGATTAAATCTGTTGGGGTGCAGATATGTCTTAAATTCTTCAGTGTTCATCTGTCCGGGATCTTACCGAGATAATAACCAAAGACTGGAACTATCATTGAAACTATTTATTACCGGAAAACATTAAACAGCACGCCCATAAAATCTAGAAGGATCGATATTTATAAAAAAAATAGTATCTAAGGAATTAACAATATACACCAACGTTACTAATAACAATTAAAAAGGGAAGATTAGAATATAACAGACATTACAATAATAAATAAATCAGATAATAATTAAACTCATTAATGTGTCAGCTGTCAACTGTCTGTCATTAGATTATCAACTTAACGTCTAATTAATAATGAAGAATTAATAGAAACATAAGAATAATGTAGCTAATACGATGTTTTTGCCAGAAGAGTTAGACACACCTTGGACCATCGGCTTCTGATTTTTTTTTTTTTTTTTTTTTTTTTTCAATGCAAAAAAAAAATAATGATAATGGTCTAAATCCGAGGGACAAAATTTATCTATGCTTGGGTCGTGGGAAAGCTACCCATTCGCTAATATGGTTATAGACCCATAACCACTCAGAACCATTCCCATATAATAATACGATTCCCCATAATTCACTTTAATGCACAGCCCACTATAACAATACCGACAATTCGATTAGTCAAAAAAGATCACGTGTTCCGAACCTCAACTTAAAAGAAAATGTGTCAGATGTAGAACATCATGTAACAAATGGGAATTAACATATAAATTGAACCATGTTGATAGTAACCCTGCGTATTGCTGTCAGTTGCCCCCCCCCCCCCCCCCCCCCCGCTCTCAATACCTGTATCATACATTGCTTCAATACGAACATTATGTGTAGTATATTACTATGTTTACATTATATGTTTCAGATTGTATGAAGAATATAGATCTTGTAAATATACGGGTTTAACCGACTGTTACAACGAAAAACAAAACGAAATGAATATAATAGATGAGGTTTTTGATCCAATCTGCAGCAAAGAATTTCATGGTAAGACTTTTTAATTTAGATTTTTACTTATTATTGGGGGTCCAAAACAGCACGGGGACTCGCAATATGGCATAAAAAGAGCAGTTTCGCAACCGTTTTTGCGAAACCAAATACATTGCCTGACCTGGATAAACAATATCCATAAAGGAACCGGTGCATCAATATATAACTCAGGGGTCTTGAGTTTAAAAAATGAGTTTAAAATGAAAATGAAATGAAATGAAATGAGGTTTAACGTCCTACTGTTCTGCTCCTAAACTGGGCTAATGAAAACGGGAATACGCCATACAGTGTGCTATGAGGGAAATTTTGCCCGGACAGCGGCACTATGGCCTACTCTTACATCGAATTCCAACTGTCAAGTGATCTTTTACGTGCACGCCAATTTGAACACGGGACCTCGGTTTTTCTTCCCATCCGAACGACTAGACAGCCGCCCTTGTCAGGCCCTCCGTCCTGTATCACTGACAAGGGGAAACCACGCCTGAAAATCTGGATGTACTTTCTCGACCAATGCAGGGATCTCGAACACCCGACCTCCAGACTAGCGAGCCAGCGTCTTACCAACTTAGCCACCGTGGCCCCCTCGTTCATTAAGGCGCCTCATGCAGATGGCGGCGATAGCATAGAGTACCTTACGTCGCCGACTGATTTAATAAAAGAAATCATTGTGTTTTAAATATTGGATATCAGAAGCCCATATTTTCACGGCAAGATAACAACATCAATATTTATCTTTAAATCGTGGATACTATACTTTACGCCCTTTAAGGTAGTTAGCTAAGAAGATCTCACATTATTTAATCATTTAATCACTGTTCTTATCAAATATCAAACCATTTTTATATTAGATTTTGTAACAGAAAGTCATTGCATCCACCGATTAAGACGCCATTTTAAAGTTTGCCATCGTAAAAAACACTGGAAAGATAAGAAATCACCATCAATAAGAAGTTTACATTCATCTCACCATTTAGAAAATCGACACTGCAAGTAAGTATTTTTAGATTTGATCTGTTTCTTCATTTAAAGGAGATATCAGATGGTATATTTTACATAATATATACTTAACAAAAAAAAGATACGTAAGTTTATGTTGAAATCAGCTAATACCCATATTAAGGGCGCCGAGTAGTCTAATATAGTACACTAACTTCTCAGCGCCAATCTTATTTTAATAAGACTCTCCATACTTGTTTCATGTGAAATAAACCAGAGGACTCATAACAGTACCACCGTTTGTTGTGAGGTCGTACACAATGGTCAGGTGATCCGCAGTAAACAATTGTGGCTGCCTCCAGCAACAGTTTCACACTGGACGACATATCGCAATCAAGTCACGTGACCAGAAGGAATTCTCTCCCTCTACCATCTTTTAGGACTTGAACATCGCTGAATTTCTTTTTTTAATGGTCGAATATATAAATTGAGTAGTGCACTGAAGTAAATATTTACTTTTTACATTCGAATTGTTGTATTTTAAAACTTGTTGTGGACGTATTCAAAGAATTTACCCCAATTACAAAGTCTTGTTTGAAGTTAAATAATGAACACAAATTTTAAAATACTTAGAGGTTTTTTTTTAACGTTTTGGTGTTGAAATGTCGCTTGTAAACTTTCGATGTACGGTCGGGATTTCGAATTTCTACTGGAAACGCTTCCTTTACACGCATGGAAATGTACATACAGGACCTCGGTTTTTCTTCCCATCCGAACGACTACAGACTGTTCCTTGCCAGCCCCTCCACTGTGCACCACTGAAAATGGAGAACCACGCTTTAAAATTCCGGAGAACTTTATCTACCAACACCGGGATCGAACCCCACGTTTTACCCACTGTGCCATCATGACTCCCTATAAATGAACAAACCCAGTGAAATAAACCTTCGATGATATTAAAACTGGTGAATCAGCATAACTAATGGCAGTAAAAGATAAACATCAACGATTCTACATTTGGAATCAATAATTGCATGACATCATTCTTTTTATACTAAATCAATATGGAGAGTTAAGATGTAAACGGTTTGAGAATTTAAAAGTAGGCCCGTTGGGTTATGTTTCTGATATACAAAAAAAAATACATAAACATGTTTCTTTAATTCATTTTTAATTTAACTGGAGATATACTGCTTTTATTAATTAAATAGTTTTCTTGTTTTGTTGGGTGATTTCTTTTTTTGAATACTCATTTGTGTTATTCACAAACGTTTGTACAAACACATCCAATGCTTTCATTATTTTATATTTATTGGTTACTCATTCAAAATGTAAATCTAGTAGTTCAAATGTCATTAACGGTTAAATAAGTCGTTCTATATCCATCAAAATTAAAAGTAAACGGTAGAAAACAAGCAAACGCTTCCCTCAACTCTTAAAGCCTATCTGTACATGACCGTGGGTATTTTTATTGTTTGATGTCAGTGATAATCACAGTTCTCTAATTCTCTTTCAGCATAACCAAGGACTATATAATGTGTCTGTATAGTGTTACAGCTTTGGGCTGTTCAATAGACGTAGCTGAGAATTATTTCTCTATATTAAATCAAAGCCTTTCAACTGCCTTCAAATATCGGGGACAATTATGCATACTAAACCATCCATTAACAGCAGTTTCGACTACGTCAGCATCAAGATTGATGATGTCACACCCACTATTGACGACACCATCATCTGTGTATAGTAATTTAGGAAGTGGGACAACACCAATGACCGTTTCTAATAATATGTACAAAGTTTTGTATGCTTTTGTATTTTTGTGTTTATTACGTATTTATATAGAAAAATAAACTGTTTTGTGATTAGATTTAGACAGATAATGTGATTAAACTATTTTGGTAAAAAGAGTTGATGAACGTTCTTTTTTATAAATTTCACAAGGTTTTGTTAACACTGTCAGTTTGGTGTGTGAACCAGGGTGTCACAGCGAGGGACTAAGATTAGAAACACGTTTAGATTTATCCAGCTAAGTGTATATTTCAGGAGTAAATATGTAAATATGATATGTCTTAATTATCTATTGGACCACGTGAAAGACAGATTTCTCATTTATATATTCAGAATGATATAACTCATCAGGTGAAATTCTGTTTAACACCAATAAATGATCTCGGTCTTTTAATGCAGCGGAGTTTGCGCATTGGCTGCGGTGGAATATGTATCTAGTAGTGATGGTATATTGTTATGTTATTCAATGAATAGTAGCCCACCTAGTATGGAACCTTGTGAAACACCACGGTAAAATATATTGAATTCCATGTTTGAATACAATGGAAATCCGATGTCTCAAAATTGAGGTATAATTCAATAATATCAGTTATCATATTCATCATATCTTTAAAATGTCAGATCAAATCAAGAACTATTACGTTTTTCTTGTAGAATTTGTATGTCTACTGGATGATTTGATTACAAAAAGTTAATTAATTATTAATATAATAATACTAAATTTAACACCCCACTTTCATATGGAGAGAAAAAAAACGATAATTGTCAAAATTGGCAAAATTAACCAGGTCGAAGATAATTGAAGTGAAATCGCAAAAAGTAATTATTTATTTGTGAATAGTGAATGGACAGGGTGGAGCAATTTACCATGCTAGCTTCTCTTCCAATATAACTTATCAACTGTTCATTTTTTTACAATTTAAGCAACTGCCGTATTCCCGAAGCAATGGTGAAGAGCATTATCGGTTATTGTTTTCATTGGATTATTCAGTTCATTTGCCGATTTATAAAAGTAAACGGCACATCCACAGGTGTTTTGACTTCATATTTATATCACTAAAACGGACATGGCGGTGGTCTGGCTAGCTCGTACGTCTTTAGATCATAAGGTCTGTCACTGGGGGTGACATGGTTTCGATTCCACATTTATACAAGGGGTATGGTCCGTTGGGTATGCCAGGGTCCTCCAGTATCCTCCCACTGTATTACATATTTTTACACTATTTGCGTTCAAGGAGTGGCCATCTTGTTGGGGAGTTTTTACGAAATTCGAACTCAACAATCACCAGGGTGTAATGATGATATATTGAAAACATTTTTTTTAAATCGGATAAAAAATGTCACCTCTAGAGAGCCACAAGCTAAAATCACGATTTTTTAAAGCAATCAGCGGCCATCATCCAGCGCGATAAAGCGTGTGCATCGAAAAGAACCGAGATCTTTAGGATATAAACACATGTTTTAAGTTTCGTTAAAATCGGATAAAATTGTGAACTTTAGAGGGTCCACAACCTTGATATTACATACTTTAACCCTATTTGCGTACAGGGAGCGGCCATATTGTCTGGCAGTTTCGGTCCGATTTTCCCAAAATTTGAACTCGAATGGCATTGTGGTGTAGGTTTAGCGGTGATATATTCGAACGGTCTTTTCAACTGGAAAAAGATTGTGAACTCTAGAGGGCCCACAAGCTAAAAACACCATTTTTCGTACAAATCAGGGGTCTTAATCCAAGAAGATACGACCTTGTATGCGCGAATATCGAAAGGAATCGGGATCACTGGGTTTATAAACATACATTTTAAGTTTCATCAAAATGAGATAACAATCGGGACCTCTAGAGTGGCCAAAAGCTAAAAACGTGATTTTCCTACAATCAGGGGTCATAATCCAGTAAGTTACACTCCGATATTCGCAAATATCGACAGGAATCGAGATTTTTGGGATATAAACCTATATTTCAAGTTTCGTCAAAAGCGGATAAAAATTGTGACCTGTAGAATGTCCACAAACAAAATGTGAACGAACACATAGACACACGGACACATGGACGGAAGGGAGGAAAGGGGCGATGACAATATACGCCCACATGAAAATATGGGCGTATAAAAATGGATAACATTAAACCAACCAATGATCAGATTATACAGCAATGTTTTCTAAAACGTGAAAATATGCACTGCTATATTTTTCACATTAAAACTTTTTCAGTGTACACGTTCAACTTGACACAACACTAAAGTTGGTAAATTAAAATGTTTTAGATTAAATATTTTATTGAATTCAACGTAGCGTGTATATCAACATCTAATAAATTATAGACGCACGCAATTATCAATAACGTAAAAGGAAATCTACACTTTAGTCACCAAACTTAAGGTTTCCGCTTATTTCTAAATCATTGATAATACGGTTAGAATTTGAACTGTGAAGTGCCCATCTTCTTATAAACATCAAAACTAGACCAAGCCTTCAAACAATTAATTCATGACTTATGATAACGCATTGACAGCTAAGAGAAAGATTTATAAATATTTTTATTTGAAATCGACATGACATATGAAATGAAATGGGGTTTAACATCCTACTGGTCTGCTCCGACTGACATGACATATGAATATTTTATAAGAATATCTATGTAAATATGAAGAACCGTGTTATATGCACTGTACTAAATTTGAACTGAAATTTGAACTGACTAATGATAAGACTATTATGTCCGAACTACCAGGAAGAACGTGTGAGTAATGTTTAGGCTGTGGTTTTAGAGAAATTAAATTAAATGGAGTATAACTTCGTCCTACAGTGTGCTATGGGGGAAATTTTGCCCAGACTGTGGCACTATGTCCCACGCTTTATTCCAATTGTCAAGGGTTCTTTTACGTACACGCCAGTGTGTACATAGAAGCTCAGGTGTCGGTCCTGCACCACTGACAATGGGAACCCAAGCCCTTCTGGTTAGCCAGCCCGTATCTTACTCACGGAGCCGCCACGGCTCCTTCTAAGATAACAACCACAAACTCAATGGTTGACGCTTTGTAACTGATTTGTTTAATTGCGATGGCTGGCTGAAATGTTCTCAGTCTGAAAAGGATAGATCAATTGAGTTGAAACAAACTTTCGCAATCTACAATCATTGAATGCATCATAGACATAAGAACTGCAACTGTAGTGTTGGTGTTTTCTTCGTACCAGACCACCTTGTGTACCTACCTATTGAAATCCCTGAAATGGATAAAACTGCCTACATTCAAGAAAACATTACCCGGTTGCATGACATGGTGATGGCTGATCGACGATTGACCGCTCGACATATTGCCAGAGTTGTAGGCATCTCTCATGAGAGGCTTGGGCACATTATCGCAAACGAGTTAGGAACGACAAAAGTTTCTGCTAGGTAGGTGCCAAAACGCTTGACTGCGGATCAGAAACGTGTCAGATTCCTGACATCCCATGACAATCTGCGCCGTTTTGAAGCAGATCCTGATTATTTTTTGGCCAGATTTGTAACCATGGATGAGACTCGTTTCAAAAATGAAAAAGAAACTAGTCGGTCTTCATTTTATTAGTAATGACGACGTCATGTCAGATGTGAACGACTTTTTTTAAGATGGCTGAAGACAATTCCTTCCTGACCGGCATCCGGACCTTGCAACATCGTTGGCAAAAGTGTGTGCACCTCGAAGGGGACTATGTAGAAAAATAAATATAAACCATCGACTTTGGACAGGTCTTTCATTAAGAGGCTTAAAACTTTTCAGCCAGCCCTCGTATTTGATAATTTGATTCTATAATTTGAGTGGCAATTACATTACATCATAGTTTTTGTATCACCTGTTAAAAATATTATTCTAACTAATCCATCGATGCAGAAAGGTAAGACGTAAATATTCTAAATAAGCTGTAAATCTGTATTAAATACGACTGCATTTAAAGATAGTGAGCGGGTAAGGTTCCAGGAATTTTTGACGAATGGGGGTTTGCCAGGTTTCTATTCAGGAAATGTGACAGTTGACAATGCATGATGCCACCATCGTCTCAAAATTACGTAGGCATACATACACACTGAGCTTTTTAAAGAGAGAAATTTTGATAATTACAATATCGGAGCAATTAAAACCCGCTTATAAAATTCTAAAAAAAAAATCGACCCTTTGCGCTAGGTTTAATTAAGACATCTTGTATACCTAGTAAGCTTAACAGAGAGGTTAACCTAAATAGGAAAATTATAATTTTCATCACACGGTATTTCTGATATTGTTATTTTTATATGAAGATTTGTTATTAAGAAACATGCTGAACTGTCACTGGTCGGTATTTTCTATTTGAACCGTTATACTCACCAGAAAATATTAGATTTAATCACGGAATCCAGTACAGCTGTAAGAACAGGTACCATTTTGAAAAGTAATCATGTTCAAAACTAACATATATATTTCATAACGAAACTTGATTAATTTACATGGTCATTGGTTTAAAGAAAAGTTTGAATATATTCAACCGAGATTTTAGCGATTGAATTTTTGGCCCAGACTCGATCATCCCTACTAAAGTCGTACGATAAAAGAGATAGTCTCGATTATCCCTTCAGTATTAAATTATGAATGGAAGTCGAACAGCAAATCGGAACCTAATCCAATAAACATCGCAGGCTAACGATGACATCGAGAGTTAATTATGGTCTAGATAAGTTAATTAATGTCTAATTAATAGTTTAGGTAACATTTCAAGCCTAAAGGCAGATTTAGCTCTTGCATAATGCATGTTTAACGAAATGAGATCGAAATGAAGTGTCATGTCCTCCTTTTATGCACCAACAAGGCACCACTCAGCTTGCTATGTGGGAGACTTTCAAGGGTTATTTCACTATTATACGGGTGGACTTCTGTTTTTCGTCCGTGTACCCATTGGTGTGCACGTAAAAGAATCCTGGATATTTTGAATTCGTAATAAGAGTATGTCTTAGCGGCGCTGTCCGGACTAAATTTCCCTCATAGTACACTATATGGCGTATGATCGTCTTGTTTAACTCAGTCGGTGCAGGAAAGTAGGACACAGTATACCCAATTTCATTTAATTTCTGTTAATATCATTTCAATAATCGGTATACCAGTATTAATATACCAATTTCATTTAATTTCTGTTAATATCATTTCAATAAACGGTATACCAGTATAAATAACTTCAGTTAATTATATTGATTCTCCTATCGAACTAGTCTTAAATTTACACACGCAACAAAATGCCAGATAGACCCAAAGTAAAACAAATCGCACATGCTTTGATCACCATTGTAATGTTTCGATAAGACATTTCAATAAGTTATAAAAGTTTCAACAAGCATTGATTTGGGTTTGTATTGCAATAAGTTAATCATTTATAAAAGTTTTAACAAACAATGATTCAGGATGGTATCAGATTCTGCTGAATTTTAAAACACAGACTATATAAAATCAGCCACGGACCGCCCCTTGACAAGCGGACATCCGGGGTGTTATTTTCGAGTCTAGTTTTCGCCAAACCTTCTAGGATAATACTCGCCTAATGTGAGTATAGACGGAGTCCATCGGTGGTGCGGATGAGACAAAAAGAGATTTTATGTGCAGGATAGTAAATTTCTAAAGGATTATATACATTTCAAGATTAGGGGATAATCCTTCAATATGAGATTAAATGGATATAGTGCAGTACTGAATGTATTGCTCTTTTTCTTATTTCAACAAGCGGTTGGTGCCAAAAGTAAGTATAAAACCCTTTTCTGTTTTCTAGTTAGTTTTATGTGCAGTCTTTACTGCCGAGCGAAGCGATCGCCCACGGTTTAAAGTCAATAATTTGCCTTATTACATTTACACTTCGCGTCTTCTTTGAATTCCCTTTCCCACGGGTTTTGTTAACGTGCACGCCAATGTATAGGCTTTACATGTGATCTCGGGTTTTCGTTCCTTTTGAACCATTGGACGCTTTATCCACACTGTTCTCTCATGTCAGTGTTCATTAGCAGGTCGGGTGCAGAAAAGTAGGACGTTATACCCCATTTCATTAAATTTCAACAAGATCTGATGATAAATGAAGTAGTAGAGTGTTCACAAGATTTGGACGTATAAAAGAAAACCAGGTACACCCTTATTATTTCTGAATCATTGGTCAGTCATGAAAATGGTTGGTTCAGAATTGAATATAAGATGTTTAGTCATTCGGATGGGACAAAAAGAACGGGGTTCCGTTTTAGCGCCGCTGTCCGGGCAAAATTGCCTTCATAGCATACTGTATGGTGTATTCCCGCCTTCGTAGAACATAGTCGGTGCTAAAAAAAAGGGGGGGGGGGCGTTAAACCCCATTTCATTGAATAGAAGATATACATGTACGTCCCATATTGACGTCGAGTGTTCGATCCCTGCATTGGCCGAGAAAGTTCATCCCGATTTTCCGGCGTGGTTTCCCCTTGTCAGTGATGCAGGACGGAGGGCCTGACAATGACAGCTGTCTAGTCGTTCGGATGGGACGAAAAACCGAGGTCCCGTGTACACATTGGCGTGCACGTAAAAGATCCCTTGGCAGTTGGAATTCGATATAAGAGTAGGCCGTAGCGCCGCTGCCCGGGCAAAATTTCCCTCATAGCACACTGTATGGCGTATGCCCGTCTTCATTAGCCCAGGTTAGGAGCAGAACAGTAGGACGTTAAACCCCAATTCATTTCATTTCACGTCCCATATTGAGATAAGATTTCACCCCTCTGGTTACATAGAGAGAGACAGAGAGACACAGAGAGAGAGAGAGAGAGAGAGAGGGGGGGGGTGTAACGTCCACTCGATACAAACTAGGTCATTTCGGGATTAACATATGGTTCAATTTTATTTCAACCAATCACTTGCACTCCTTGTCACGTACACGCGGGGAAACAAATCCGCGACACCTTTCCTGGTTACACCAATAATGAACTCTCTTAACCAGGACTTTTAAGTTAAATCTATGTCATTGCTCGGCCTATAATTGTCTTCCTTTTATCGTTTTGAACAGTCCGATGCTCGCAATGTATACGTCACCCAGTGGCGGCGCCAGGGGGGGGGGGGAGGGCAAGGGGGGGGGGGCATGTTGTAGAGCATTTCCGACAGTCTATTTTTCAAAATTTTCTTGTCGAGGTCCCCAATGGACTCGCTACTTTGGCGCTCACAAGGGGAATTCGTTGAGGTTCGCAAGTCCGTTCGTTTGACATTTTGTTCTCTAGTCGGATAAACTAGTGATCAGGCGACGGACGGTATCTGTTCAGATCTATTTATCTCGACGATCGGTGCCTGGGAATACTGAAAGACAGCATTTCCGGCAGTCTATTTTTCAAAATTTTCTGTGGGAAGACCCCCTACTTTGACGCTCGTGAGTGGTCTTCGTCTGATTCGCAAGTCCGTTCGTTTGACACTTTACCTCATCGATCAGTGCCTGAAATACTGCCAGGCTGCATTTCCAGCAACCTGTTTTTCAAAATTTTCTGGGGGAGGCCCCCTACCCCTGGTTGAAGCTCGTGCCTTTGCCCCCTTAACCTTGGACTTTGCCCCAGCTTTACCCATCCAATCACCGACGGCTGGCGCCGCCACTGACGTCACCCCTTCACACCTGAAGATAAAATTGGTTAAGCGATCATTAAATGGGAGATAACTCATCCCTATGGTAACATCAATATTAGACTACCTCAACAGACTATAAAATTAAATCCATGCAATTTCTCGTCCTATAAAATTTTCTTCCATTTTCACACGAACAGTATGACATAGTCACCACGCTTACCAAACAGATTTACTTCCCTTTATCGTATTACATCACGGGAAACTCGAGACGGGGCGTGACAAAGGCCCGGTGTCGTTGCACTACCATTTCTGGTTTCGTATATTTTGCACACTGAAAACTATCTACTTTGAGAATAAATCTCTGCCCTGAATGATCGCCATAAACAAAACTCAAGTTGGGTCGGTTCTGTTTAATTACTCCTAACAGTATAAAATGGTCTTATTTTTAAGATGTTACATGCGTTAATAAAGCACTCGTATATAAAAACAAACACATTAGTTTAAAAATTCTACAAATCCGGAAATCATTAAGAATAATATTAATACCATATGCCGCGATGGTATAGCTCACTGACATGATAGGATTTTGATGTTTTCTTAATGGTCCATGGCGTGGACGTCAGATTTTCAACTGAATATTCCAAAATGATAATTCGTCCGATTCAATCTAAAGAAAGGGATTTTTTTCATTAGTAGTGGCTTGTAATTAGCAATTAAATTTGGGTTTCTTTTACTCATACAAAACCAGACAATCGCATAATTGTGCGCAAGGGGTAATATGAATCGCAATCAAATGAAATGGGGTTTAACGTCCTATGTTTCTACACCGACTGGACTAATGAAAACCGGCATAAGCCATACAATGTACTATGAGGAAAATTTTGCCCATTCTCCCTGATACCATCCTCGGTTCCCCAGTGGTTTCATTCCGTTCTACTCCACTAACCCCTGGGTTAATCTATGGGGGAAACACGTTTTCAAGTTATCCGCCCTTTTTGGTTTTGCTATTTTTATCGACCAATCTCATAAATCATTAATTGAAAAGGAAGTTGACAAAGGGAAGTAACTCTCAACGGACAAGGATAGGAGTCCAAATTATTTACAAATTATATACTGAGCGCCATGGAAAACGCATCACTTAGTTTTTCGTATAACAAAATGATCCTGTAAACATATCTTATTTATTTTGCTTCTTATTGTGAACAATATTCAAATGGGAACACATGAATAACAACACATTTGTACACTTATGGATGTTTAATCTGTAATCAAGGGTAAAAAGACAGAGGGGTCAAAACCAAAAGTACGACACAGATGTCAGTAGCGCGTGTGGCCTCCACGGGCTCTTACGCACGCTGTGTAGCGACGTCGCATGGAATTTAATTTGAAAGAAGGCCTGGGGCAAATTGTTCCATTCTTGGACAAGAGCAGCTTCTAAAGCAGCAATGGTGTGCATCTGTGGTCTCCGATACAGACTGCGTCCAATCTCATCCCGGACATTTTCTATCGGTGCCATGTCCGGAGACATTGATGTTGTTAGCAGCCAGGTAGTCCATACTAAAACGGACGGATAGCTCCAACATAAGGTCGTCGTGCACGGAGTCCTACTTCTCTTAGACGACGTCTTACAGTGTTGGCACTTACTGGTCCTTGTCTTCAAACGACTGCTGCACCTGTTCGATTCGCTGGGCGGAATCTGTCACGCAGATGAGTGACCCGGATGTAGCGGTCTTGAGCCTGTGTTGCAACGCGTTGTGGACCAGAACGTTGACGGTCACTTGTTGATCCAGTAACTCGAACACGTTCCACCAACTTTACAATAGTGGACTGATGACAATTGAAGTGTCTGGCAATAGCACGTGTAGACATGCCAGCCCTGGACATTCCCATGGCTTCATTACGTTGATTTTCAGTAAGTCTCGGCATCTCGAGCTCGATTCCTTCACACGTCCAACAACAAATTAAGACAGATTGGCGTTTCACAGTTCATGTACTGCACATTAAGTTGAAAACATGCTTTTAAGGGGCTCACACACAATGCTGCACGTGAATATTGGATTTTTCATGCGCATCTCGTGCATTTTGTTTTTGCACACGGGCCGATATTTTTTGCGTTTGGGAGCATTGTGTGAAACAATAGTTCATAGTATTGCATAATATTATACATACAAAACCACCTAGTAATAAAATATTTGGGAAAAAAAAGTGATGCGTTTTCCATGGCGCTCAGTATGAAGATCTTGCGTTTATGTAGGTTCAAGAATTTTATTGAGAATCCTGATATCGTTGACAAGATATTGTGAATCAAATTGCCAAGTATAAGTTCAATAATAATATACATAACAGAATGAAATATTTCAGACAAAGAACGAATAGTAATAATAATAAGAAAAGTCAAACAGATGTTATACATATTTGAAATCAGCGAAACATACTACAGATTTTGATAATACAATTTAATATAAATGAATTAGAAATATATACATAACTTACATAAATCATTCAGTATCTGGACATGAATATGGTTATCTACCCTTATAAAACCGAAGGCGAAACGACAGGTTTGTAAACTGTTTTTTTGATTGGTTCGTAGACTACAGCTACAATCAAGGCCAGGGCAGATAATTTGAAATCGTGGAAACCCTATGGATTAACCCAGGGTATAGTTGAGTAGAACGGAATGTGTACACTGGGGATACCGAGGATGCCCTGATACGTACAAGTTGGTAATTGAAACCTCGCCGCTTGACTCAATGACAGATCTTATGATCTTACTTGCACACGCGTTAGACCATTCACCCCCCCCCCACTCACACACCCACACACACACGCCCACGCACACACACACACACACACCCATACCCATATACCAACCAAAAAAAAAAAAAACTTATTTGGAGAGGATTCTTAATTAGAAACGTGTTAATAGACATTTGTTGGCAAACTATGTATAACTATACATAATTTTATGGACCGCTTTCCGTGTATGCGTTTGCGCAAACAAAAAAGTAGGTATAATGCAAATGTAATGGGCCCGTATTTGCTGAGGTTTTTTTTCCCGCGTGAAGTATGCGCATGAGGTTATTTACGTTTCGGCGTATAAACATTGGTTAATCAACTGCTCTTGTCCTCACTTAGGACGTCATTTTCATGGGATTCCCTAAAATTTTCAGTGATTTTTCTGTTCACATAGATATAAAATCGCGCGCGAAAACGCAGCTATTTTTCCGCTGGTGGAAACGCGTACATGCAAATCGAGACTAAAGATCATTGTTTATTTTTAGATTGTGTTCAACATAGTATAGCAAATGGTCAATCTAAACTACGGCGTGGAGGCAAGATAGTGTATTACACATGTAAAACAAAGTTTACAAGAATTGGTAAGAAGTTTGCAGTTTGTTTGTCTCAAGGAGATTGGAGTCAACCACCACCCATATGTATAGGTAAGATACTCGAGTGAGAGAGAGAGAGGGGGGGCAGCGACCCTACTCTTTGTCACGTACAAGCAGATTATCGAAACCACATCACTTGACTCGATGGTGGGCTTTATAATCTATAAATCCGAGAAAACATGCATTTTGGGAAGATATGATTTTAGAATTGTTAATATTCTTTTTTAATTGTATCAACTCTTTCTTTGTCTTTTCCACAGCTAAAGGTTGTCCTAATGTAACGCCTACCAATGGTCTTCAGATAACAGGTGAACACAACGGCGCCATGTTAAAATTTACCTGTCTACCGGGAATGAAACGTAAAGGACCAGAATCAATTTATTGTAATGGACAAACGTGGAATGTAGAACCACCCACTTGTGTCGGTAAATACAACTTTAGCATTTTTACTATTCTCACCCTGAATGACAGTAGGATTAAGCAATAGTGTTACGGCTAAAGGGCTCTCGTCAACTTGTAGGGGTTGTACATGTTACATTTACCAAAAGAAATACGATGTACAACACGAAAAGGTTCATGTCCATCTTTATTCGATGGCTACAACCGCGTGCAACAAAACAAGAGACTTGACAATCTTGACTAACATTCTTACTGTACTCACCCCAAATGGAATTATAGGATCAAACAATAGTAAGTTGCGGGACCAAGCTGAGGGGTACCGACGTATTAGCTTCAGTAGCTAGACATGGTAAAACCAACTTCGGTGTGACGGTTCGTGTCGGTGCCGATTTCCCTTCATACATTTGTACTCCTAGCCAAGGACCCCCCCCCCCCACACACACACACACACACACCCCACCTCCCCCACTATCTAAATAAATAAAGTCTCTGTGCCGATTTCCCTTAATACCGTATTGTTGTCTGTACTCCTAGCCAAGGGAAAAACCCACAATCTTAATCAATAAAAAAAACACAAGTGTTGGTGTAAAATGTCATTTATACAAAATGACGATATGAAAACATAAGAATGTAAAACATATCCAAATTTTAATTACAATTTCCCCAACTATTTCCAGGATCTCTAGTTTTTTGAATGAGTTATTTATTTTAGTTAGAGCAAACGACCATAGCCATTGTCATGACAATTTTGCAAATATAGTGTCAAGCCTACATAAAATATAAAACACTTTAGTGGACACATTAATAACAAGTTAGATTCCGTCTGGAAGAACACCGTGGTTTCTGGCAAGCTCCGTCAAGTTGCGGTCATGAACGATTGATTCTGATCACGAACGGTTGATTCCAGAGACGAAACAACAAGATAAATCAGCTCTTTTAAAATTAGATCTATATGAAACCAGGGTCCCTTACAGAAACGTAATACCGGGTTAACTCTACTACGGTTTCAACTTCATCCATTTATTGATATACATATATATATATATGCTTTAGTTTCAGTGGGTATAAGACTAGAATGTGATTTTGAAGATGAAGAGTTATGCGGATGGGGTCAATCGGACGATGATCATTTTGAATGGACCTGGCTTTCAGGTGCTACATCAACTGAGAATACTGGACCTTTACATGATCATACCTTTGGAAACAATTCAACAGGTAAGTCATTTGATGTTACCTTGAACTACACGGTATATATGATATTGGGATATGGTATAATGCCCTGTTTTCAATTATCTATATTCATATCCAGGGTTGCGCATTGTAGTGAATTATCGGAAAGTAAATGTGGGAATGCTTTTATAGTCATAACTAAGCGGAATGAGCGGAATTGTTCCATACAGAACTGACTGGGTTAATGGATACGTGCAACCGCCATACAATGTGCTATGAGAGAATGTTCTGCCGGGAGTGCGGCGCTACGACTTACTTATATTTCAAATTCCAACTGCCAAGGGTTCTTTTACGTGCACGCAAATTTGTACACGGAACCTCATCCCATCTATTAATAGGTTAAGAATTAAATGGGCGACACGTGAAGATACATTTATAAAAATCTGAACAAAAGAAAGTACAGATTTGATCACGGTGTTGACCAAGAAAGTTCCCCGGGATTTTTCGGCCTAGTTTACCCTTGTTAGTAGTGAAGGCCTGACAAAGACCATCGGAATTAAAACCTGTTGGCGTACTTTGTCAGCTGGAATATTCGAATAGGTAAGTCTTCACTATACCAGTTGGTGCAGAAAGTAAGACGTTATACCCCATTTTATTTCTTAATAGTAAAAACACCAGTGGATGTTCCGTCTACTTTGATTAGCCGGAAACCGAACTAAATAATCCAAAAACTAATAATTTTCATGACACACGACATAGCAGTACTCCGTCCCGTCGTCACAATCCCGGTTTGTACACAAAAGTAGGACGTTAAACCTTGAACCATTTCATTTAATCAGGTTGGTATCTCTCGATTGTATTCCAGGTCATTATCTGTTTATTGAGTCATCAGCACCAAGAAAACCTTTGGATAAAGCTATACTAAATTCACCTCTCTATCAGGCACAATACAGCAATAGCTGCTTTGAATTTTGGTATCATATGCACGGCCCAGATGATGAAAATGGTAGGTCGTCAATTATATTTTACTTAAACAGGCAAACAATATTAAACAGATCAGAGCATTATTTTTCACTATGTGCAATTCTTTGGGAGATTTTTTTGGAGAAAAATTGATCCCCAGCTGTTGCTCACCTCGTTGTCCATACTATTCTACTTGGCAACGACGCCCTTTGAAAAAAACAACTTAGGGCTCAACCAATTCTAGTATGATCCGCATGCTCTTTTCTTGGTCAATTGCGCTTCGATTGACGGATTTCGAATTCCAAGATGTTGGCATACTCAATTCCTGGTCAATAGTTTTAATGGTATCCGATCGCTGCCAGGGAAGGTATTTTCATTAATGTCATTGTACCCTTTCCTTTTTACAAAATACTTTATGATTATTTTAGCTGTTGGAAGTTTGGAAGTTTTTGTTAAACCAGAAAGTAGATTACTAGACGATATAGATCCGGAATTTTATATGGCTGGTAATCAAGGTCCGGAATGGAAGCGAGGTTCAATAACAATAGAGCAACAAACAGAAGTATTCCAGGTATGAAGAGCGCATGAGGCAGGAGTTGTAGGCCCAGCATGTTAAAGGATAGCTTTACCTTCTGAAGGGCAGTGATTGGTTCTTTTTGTTAATAATCAATAAATCTCATTGGCCAGGGGTGGCGACACCCTACTGCTTAGGGGGTGTATCTTTGATTTCTTGATTAGTAGCTTCTGTGTACGCTTCAGTTGCATGGTCGACGGAAGCAAATCTTGATTGTGAGCTGGGGGAGGGAGGGGGCTACCATCTTAGGTCTTTAGGCGAGGGCGAGGGCGGCCTAGGTCCTGGAAGCTCTCGAGGTCTCGATCGTCGGAGACGCTTTCTGGGAGATTTCTGGCCAATAAAATTGCTCAGTAATGAAATCAAATTTTATTTCTTTTGTTTACTTACCATGAAAACACAATCGATGTTGATCTAATCCTGTGATGTTCAACTTGACAAATATATGCATAATAATACCAAGGTTGCGGTCACCCTAGAGGTTACAATTTTTATCCGATTTTGATGAAACTTACAATGTATGTTTATAACCGAAAGATCGTTTCTTGGATTATTGCCCCTGATTGTGCGAACAATCATATTTTAGCTTGTGGACCCTGTAGAAGTAACAGCTTTTATCTGATTGTAAAAACCGTTCAAAGTTACACCATAATTACGTTTGAGTTCAAATTTCGTGACAATCGGACCGAAATTGGCGGCTCCCCTTTAAAGCATTAATACACAGGTTAGACCTATATATTAAGGCCACCTGCAGATCTCGTTATGGTCACGAGATGTAAACAAGGCTAGCATCGACCGAAACCCAATCACGTGCCCTAACCCTGTTTATATCTCGTGACCTTGACAAAATCTGCCGATGGCCTTAATATTTAAATCTAACCGTAATACCCAGGTTGTGGACCATCCAGAGGTTCGAATTTTTTTTATCCAATTTTGATCAAACCAAAGATCTGGTTTCCTTTTGATATTGGCGCGTATTGGACCGTGCCTTTCTTGATTTATATGACCCCCTGATTGTACGAAATATCACGTTTTAAGCTTATGGGCCCTCTAGGGGTCACAATTTTTATCTTATTTTCAAAACTATTCAAATATATCACCGTTACACCATAATTTTCTGAGATCCGGACCGAGACTTCCCGTCAAATAGCCGCTCCCCTTTACGCAAATAGTATAATAAAATCATGTAATGCCCAGGTTGTGAACCATCTAGAGACCACAATTTTATCCGATTTAGATGAAACTTAAAACGAGTATCAATAGTTCTTGGATAAGTTCAATTTCCGTGCGCACAGGCCCCTGTCTATACACAAACTGTGAAATATGAATGATGTTTGTGGACATTTCACGATGAAACTTAAACTATGTGTTAAAGATCAAAGGTACTTGAATGTTTTGATTTTACCTCTTCCCCATCCATATCTTGCAGAATGTGGACGTATCTTGCCTGGCAACCGCTTCTTTTAACTGGTCATAACTGATCGATAGCAGTGAGTTATTTATTGGATAAGGGACACAAGGAAATAGTATAATTAAAACTTTATCTCATCGTTTTTCTAATTACCTAATCCGTCATAGATACAACGGACGAGAGATGGACTTGAAAGAAAGATCAACTGTTTACTTATCTAATCGTGCCCTGGCAACCGTGAGTCTCTTAACCCAGAGATCAGTATAGAGCATAGCGGTGTTTTCTGCTTCTGAAACTCTACGCGTCCTAAAAGTTTCACTTCTATGTTAAAATCGGGCCTCTTTGTTTTTAATCGAATGGATAGTTACTTGCGTGCATTAACCTGGAAAAAAAGCGTAATTTCGGCCACGTTATTAATGCATTGGGGACTGGCTTCCCCCCACCACTCCACCGGGCCTGAGTTGAACTGATAACACTTTATATTTGATCACGTAGTTTTACAGTTACTTCCATGTTCTATGTTTTTTGCATTCACATGCCTTCCGCTATGTTTATTAATGCTTTGATTAACTGGTGATAATTTGTTATTCCAGATCATTATAATCGCAACCCGTAAAGAAGCGTTTGTCAGTGATATCGGCCTTGATGATGTCAGAATGTACAACTGCTCAGAAGGTAGATTACTTTATTAAATTAATTAGAGCTGTCCCCATGATCATCATCATCTCGCAACGAATAACAAAATCAATCATTTACATTAGTAAAAAGTAATTTCAGTAACAAAGGTGATTTCAAAATATATGTTTGAATGTATAATCATTCATTTACGTTGTTACTATAATTAACAGTAAAAGATAATATCAGTTGATCTCAAATTACGTTACATACCACTATTCTGTTGTGATTGGTTGTGACTTGCATTGTTTTAACAGCTAAATCCACAACTAAGAATCATTGCAATCCTTTATAATGTAGATAATCAATGGAATATGTTACCAGTTCTGTACATATTATTACGTTTATTGCTATAGTATTAATATCTTCCTTCAATATTATTGTCCGGTATAACTCAAAACATGTCGATATAAAGGGAAGTTACTCTTGATAGTGATATCGTCACATGGCAAGACATTATTCTACCGGATGGTGACTTATATTGGGACTAATTACGAAGAATTGCGGTGATTCTTGGCGATATCATCACACGGCAAGTCGGTGTTCCTATGAATGGTGAGTGGTAGTGGGAGCGCTTTTAGAAAAATTGTGATGCTTCTTAGCGATAACCGCCACACGGTATGTCGGTGTTCTAATGCAGGGGGAGCGCTATTAGGATTGTGATGCTTCTCAGTTGTTTATACTTTGAACGATTAGAAATCTAACAATTGACACTAATCTGATACAAAATATTTGTGTCACCACAGACGGAACTTGTAACATTTTTAAAAATCGTGTATATATATTTTACAGACGACAATGCATTAATTTCAGAAGCAGTACCAACAACGTCAAAAATAATCACACCACAAAAAACAAGCATTCTGACGTCAACTATTAAGCAATCTACTACAACGACTGAAGTAACAAAATCATCAACAACGACACCAAAGACAAAACGAACTACAACATTACCCACAACAACTACTGCATTACCCACAACTACTGCATTACCCACAACAACTACTGCATTACTCACAACAACTACTGCATTATCCACAACTACTGCATTACTCACAACAACTACTGCATTGCCAACAACAACTACTGGATTACCCACAACAACTACCACTTTGCCTACGATGACTACTACAATGCCTACTGCAACTACTACTATAACACCGAAACAGAAAACTAGAAAGCGAACTACCACTGCAAAAACTTCAACAAAGCAACCAGAAACACCAATGACGCCCGACAGTCAAACAACAGTACCATCGACACCTTCCACTAACAACATTTCCAAATCAACTTTAGTGTCAGATGGCCTTTCAAATTCACCCACAACATTAAAACCAGCAAAAGAAAAATCGACATTTACAAACAATTCGTTCACAGGAAATTCACAAACAGGTGGTGAAAATAACATTTCATCAACAAGTAATAGGTCGTTTAACATTCCACGTGGGTCTCCTATAAAAGAGAAAACTAAAGATAGTTTGATGCCTTTTATAATAGGAATATCATGTGGTGTAGTTTTAGGACTGGTAGTTATTGGTGTAGCAATCTATTTATGGGCAAAACGACAGCAAAATAAAACAAATAAAACAACAGTGGAATAGGAGGAAGAAATGGCACCATGCAATGACCCGTGTTGAAGAGGGATATTACAATCCTAGCTAAAATGTGATAAGCATCTTCACGTTTCGAGTTGCTTTAGAATCAAGGTGCAAGTACAAAATCTAAAGGCTGAAAGTAAAGCTTTCCGGTGGAAAGTATTAATACATCCGTTCAGCTTTTAAATTGTATTAAAAAAAACTACCCATGCGTATATTTCACAACGTAGACTTTTGTCTTCTGTAAAAAGATTAACATCGAAATGGTGGGAATACAAACAATCGGTGCTTATATTCCATATTGAAATTAGCCTTATAATGCAAAGATATCTAGTTTACTTGTTGATTTCAAATAGGGGGCTTGTGATATTTTGCTTCATAGGTGTGTTGTTGAAGATCGCTTTATCTAGTCGGAAATAATGTGTTCATTCCTACCAAAGGAAGGCCCCTGTAAAACTGGTCGGAAATCGTAACCTTGCACGTTCATCCCTGTTGATTTAGAAACTTGTTTAGTCAATGAAACGCTTGACGATTTAGTGATATTGTCCTCTGAAAATTTGGGAACATGATACAGGACAAGTGGATTGATCATTACCTCTTGATATTTAAAATCGTCCCAACTCGGTGGTAATGGAAGTCGGCTTGCAAATTCCAAGAACATTTCAATAGTAAACGTTTTTGTACAGTTTATTAGACCATGGATTGATATTGTGACGAAATTATCGTTGTTAAGTTCAAGCTTTCCAGGGGTCATATGAATTCATAGAAGATTTATTCTTTAAATGGCATTTAGTAATTGGAACAACACACTATTTATGGATAACAATTACTATGGTTTATTTCACTGCGACGTTTCAACAACACATTTCTTATTTTATGTAATTATCACATATTATTTATCAGTATAATGTAATGAGACAGATTTATTTATACAAATACTTTTGTACATAACAAGTAATTGATTAAATGTTTATGTATATTTCATTAAAACTGAAACGTTTAAACCTGTCTGTTGTATGTTTGGTTAGGGCCCACGAAAGGCAGGATACCATGTAGGGTATTTTACTCAACTTTTCTACGGGTTCGTAGATTTTCCCGCTGTAATTAATAGATTACAATTTCGTTTCGTTCATTTTCTGCGATTTTTACATGACGCTGTAATCTAACATAATATGATCACCACGATGGGGGTCGACAGTATCTAAGTGGGTTAGACGCTGGTTCGCTAGCCTGGAGTTCGGGTGTTCATTCCCGGCATCGGGGCAACAGAAAACCTCAAAGCACACTGTATGGCGTATGCCTGTTTTCATGAGCTAAATGTGCAGTTATTTCCCTTTATATATCAAGCCTTCGAGCTGTTTGATTGATAGTTCAGTTCAATATATTAATACTCTTCTGTTTTAATCTTTGGATTAGCAGGACGTGTCCACGTTTGCCCATACGAGGTGCCACTGCCACACCCCAATGGATGCAAGCTACTGTAGAATTGAAGAAATGTATCCCTTTATGATTCAACCGCCATGTCCCAATAGAGCTGGAGCAACCTTATTGGAACACATTTAAACAAGCACCACCCATGCAATACACCTACCGCGGCAGCCTAAGGCCCTGTGATCTATATAAACTATCATTTCGGGTCTAACACATGGTTCAATTTGATTTCAAAAATTCGCTTGCGCGTTGGGGTATTTAGCAGTGGGAGGACCCGGAGAAAAACCACGATGTTGGACAGGCGACCCTACCCCTTGTCACGTACAAACGGGGAATCGAAACCACGCTAGCTGACCCAATGACAGACCTTATGATACAGCGCACACACACTAACCATTCGGTCATCCACCCCCCTCCCTAATATACTAGCAACTGCGTAATATATCGCTTATGGGAAACACGGTGTTTCGGTGAATATGATCCTCTTTTCAGCGGTGCAAGGTGTGGGCTCAAGTCGTTCGGATGGGACAAATAACGAGTTCTGTGTACACCAGGCGTAAGCGTATGTCCGTATGGATTAGCCTGGTTCTGGAGAGAGAGAGAGAGAGAGAGAGATATGGGGTATAACGTCCACTCGACGCAAACTAGGTCATTTCGGGACTAACATATGGTTTAATTTTATTTCAATAATTCGCTTGCGCGTAGGGGTCTTTAGCAGTGGGGGGAAACCGGAGGACCCGGGGACAACCCACGAGGTTGGACAGGCGACCCTACTCCTTGTCACGTTGAACCGGGGATTCGAAACCACGCCAGTTGACTCAATGACAGGTCTTATGATACAGCACGCACGTGCTAACTAATCGGCCATCCACCCCCACCCCCCTGGTTCTGGAGGGTTCTAGAAAAAGCTGGAAGGTTTTGGAAGGTTGTGAAAAATTTTAGCATGTTCCAGAAAGTTCTAAAATTTCCTAAAACTGTATAAGGCAGATCAGACCAGTCAGAAGGCAGAACTTTCTTATCTCTTCGTACAGAAGTAAACGTTCGCGGTAAGTTTCTTATTGACTCCCGCATTGTCTCTATCGTCATTTTGGCGTATATGAAATGAAATGAAATGAAATGGAGTTTAACGTCCTACTGTTCTGCTCCTAACCTGGGCTAATGAAGACGGGCATACGCCATACAGTGTGCTATGAGGGAAATTTTGCCCGGACAGCGGCACTACGGCCTACTCTTATATCGAATTCCAACTGTCAAGGGATCTTTTACGTGCACGCCAATGTGTACACGGGACCTCGGTTTTTCGTCCCATCCGAACGACTAGACAGCTTTCCTTGTCAGCCCCTCCGTCCTGCATCACTGACAAGGGAGAACCACGCCGGAAAATCTGGATGAACTTTCTCGGCCAATGCAGGGATCGAACATTTTGGCGTATATACATACAAATTGAGCTTTATAAACAGAGAAATTCAACACCTCGTTTGACGTCAATTTTTATTAAGAATTAATACAATGACATTGTGATTCAATTTCATTACATGGATGCAAAGCATTAATTGTGATATCACATACAGTGCCGGATTAACCTTGTGGGGGGCCTGGGACATACCAACTGTGCGGGGGCCTAGGGTGTTTTCCTCCAGGAATTTTTTTTTTAAATTAGGATTAATTTCAGTGCATCTGAGACCAATTTTTTAACTGAGCATAGGTCAAATCAAGACATAAAATCCCAAACAAAAGATAAGGAGAAAAAAGACGTAAAATTTAGGCAGGAAACATGTTCAGATTATACATTTGTCTGAACTACGTACTATACTATGATTACGTTAATTTCCCGGGACTGGTTGGGCCCCAGCAATCACATCGCGGGATGGGGTCCCCGGAACTGATTAGGACCTATTGATTGGTAGAACCTCAAAGTTATGTTATTTAGTTCATTTTAGGGCCTAACCGATCTCTGGGCCCCCGAAAATCTGTTGGTACCTACCAGTCCCGGGGCCCCCAATATCCCTTACTGCCCAGGGCCCCAATCCTCGCACCCTAAGCCAAGGTACTGGTTGGCTCCGTCCGGGATAAAATATAAGTATGACCCAGAATTGGGAGGGGGGCCTAAATGTGGGGGGCCCGGGACATTTGTCCCACTTTGCCACCCCCACCCCCCACCCCCTAGATCCGGTACTGATCACATAATGTTTATATCATTATCTCGTGCTTTGAGTGCCCATCCTGTCCCACATCTGACGATAAAGGATAAAGCACACGGCCGAGAAACCTTTCTCATAAAAAGTGTTGATTTACACAAAAAAATATGTAGCTGAGCTACATGTAATTGACCTCCCACCCCACCCCACCCCCTCTGGATCCACCCGTTCCACGTGGTCTGTGTTCTCCATTTATTGCCACTTCGTGGTGTTGCACTAATGTACTGTTTTGAGAGAAATTATCTGCCTGTATTACACCGTGTTGTTTTGAGAGAAACTATATCTCTGTTGTAATCCAAGTTTAGGATTATTGTTGTGGATTATTTCTACGTCGGATTATACCGATTGAAGGATTGTTCATCCTCTTAGATTTCGATCATCAAGATGTTGTGTAATTCTGTCAACTTTGGAATTAGTACGGCAACACTGAGAAGAAAGTATTATCAATATATATTGTCATTTGGAAGAATGATATGTAATTTTTATTTGAACAAAATGTTTTCCCCTCGCTCTGACTTGCTAGTTATTATTAATTACATATAAAGATTACATGCATTAGATGTTTGTCTTCTTTTATTATACTGGCTGTACTCAACCTGTTATGTTACAAGAAATATGCAATGATTTTACTATCGAGTTTCCAGTATATTGCATAAAATCTCATTAACCGTCAGCATATCCTTCGGGGATCTTCATAAATTAGTGATTCTCAACCGGTGTTTCGCGGCACACCCGCGAGATCTTTCTAAGCGTGCCGCGAAATTTTGAACGGCACACTAAAAAATGTAAAAAAAAACGTGATGTCAATTTAATATTCACTGGTGTTTACTGATAAGTTCATAGCTGTGATTTTCTTCATTAAGTTTAAGTCATTCTATGTGTCTATGACTAGTTTCTGCCTACGGTTGTATTCCGTCTGACTTACCATGTTTTTATTTTGCAAAATTAAAATATTTTCATATATATTTAGCCAGGTGTGCCGCTATTTTTGCATGTGTACATGTGTTACTGTTCATAAATAAAAAGCCAATCGCGTCTCATGACAATGGTTTTAATTTGAATATCAAAACTTGAGATTTTGAGAACTGCAACCAAGTAGTTGTTCTTTTTTATATTTCTTTTCCCGAAGGAATAGGCCACGCAATTGTCATTTTCGTCCCCGAAGATGAAAAGTTAAAGTTCGTGTGACCTTTATATATATAAATTTAGAGGTATTTATCAAGTTTCAAAACTAAAATACAATTTTAATATTCCTTCCCGAAGAACAAAAGTTCGTGTGACCTTTTGATATAAAACGTTAGGAGAATTTATCAAATTTTATATAGTGTCTATCTGTTCTTAAAGCGAGAATTTCATATTTTCTAAGAAAGTCAAAACATAATTATTTCTATGTCTTTTGTTCAATAGGTTGTCAACTCACTATTATACGATCACAGGTATCATTATCACAATTCTAAAATCATTCACACCGGAAATAATAACACAATTACCTCCTTTGTTTTTCTATTGCCCCCATGGAATAGCTATCTTCAAACGTTTGAATTTGAAATTGAAAATGATATTATTTTTGACAATTTCTCAACTAGCAATCGGGAATTATAGGATTAATAGGATTATTCTTTAACACGGTAGGACTGTTTATAGATACCATCTATTTTAAGGCTTTATTTAAATACATTTTAAAAATATAACTTAAAAATATGAAATTCTCGCTTTAATCTCTTTGTTAGAAATATAAGGCGTTCCACCCATTGGTGGGAAATATTGCTACGTCAATGACACCAATCCGACTATATAGCACAAACATATTATATGGTGGTGATAACTTGGTGGGAGTGGACGTTAAACTCCAGGAACGAACGAACGTAATTTGAAAAGAATGTGGGGAGGGGGCTGAGGTTCATCTTCTCAGCCACTGGAAGTACATAATAGCCTATATGTGTAGGATAAAGCACGATACTGAGGTTATGCTGGGGAAAGAAAGACTGAAGAAAATAACCCGAGGGTTTTTTTCTGAAGTCTTTCTTCCCCAGCACAACCGAAGTGGAGAACTTTATCTTGCTAAACCGTCTATGTTTACATATACGCAAAATGAGAATATCCCAGAATTCCAATAAGAAAAACCTTAGGTCATCTTTTCTTATGGAAAAAAAAACTTACCCTGGAAGAATTACCTGTTACAGGTTTAAAGAAAAACTTTCAGAAGAATAACCCTAAATTCCCCTGTATATATCCAAAGCCGCCTCCGACTTTCAGACCTCAAGTTATTCCAGGCATAGAATATCCCAAAGATCAAAGAGATTTGCCGTTACAGGTTTATAACCAAGGAGAATGAAATGATCTATGAGTGGGGTGCGGGAAAGATGATTCAATCT